TGAAATTATAGTTTGATTCATTTTTCTTGTCATTTTCAAAAAGCAAACACAATAGTTGTGCATCTATGTATAAAATATGCTTAAAGTATTTCAAGCATAACCATCTTCTCAATAACAAAACGTAACAAGAAGCAGGGCGACTGATTCGTTTTTTTCTGATGTTTTATTTTATGTAAAAACTCAAAGTAATAAACATATCAAATGTGGATTTAAGAAACAATCTCAGAGTTTATAAACTTGTTTTTTAAACGAGGTAGGTGGATATAGAACTCTAATTTTGCTCTTCCCTTACAAGCAGTAAAAAAAGCTGACCTCTACGTTTAAAGACATGTGGAGGCGCCATGTCATGTCTGTTTAGGTAGCAATCAGTGAGAAATGACGATGTATCAGTTTGTTAAAGGAGTGTCACATTATGAAATACCACCTTGTTTAAGAGCCAGTTAGCAGGTGGATACAGACCAAATAGAAGAAAAAAAAAAGACTTAACTAAACTAAACAATGTTTCCTTACTTTTTCTTATAGTTTTCTAAGGGAAGTAACAACAAAAATCTCAAGTAAATTTTGTACAACTATGCAAGTCAGAAAAGTGTGATTCTTCTTCTTTTTTATTTGCTGGAGATCGGCCTGTTTTCCAGTGTGGTCCTGTTTCTCTGACCGTGACTGAGTGGATGTGCTCTCTTCGTCCTCTGGCATGGGAGCTGGCTCGGAGCTCGTCTGCCTGGCTGTGTGTTTCCTGGACGGGGCCGCCTTTTACAGCTGCTTTTTGTGTCTCTGCTTCTGTCTCCTTGAACCCCAGTGGGCCTCAGCAGATGGCCGCTCACACTGAGCCTGGTTCTGCTGGAGGTTTCTTCCTGTTAAAGGGGAGTTTTTCCTCTCCACTGTCGCTACAAGCATGCTTAGTGTGGGGGATTGGATTTGAGTCAATGAGTCGATGCAATCAACTGGTTTTCCTTAGATAGAAAACTTTGTATCAATTTGACTGTATGATCTGGTTGAACTGTAAAGTGCCTTGAGATGACATGTGTTGTGAATTTGGCGCTAAATAAATAAACTGAATTGAATTGAATTTATGGTGGGTTGCTAATAGGTGCATATTCCCATCAGTGTAACATCTGTAGCTTCAGCCCACTGATTTCTGTTTATTAGTTATGCAGATAATCATATAATGCTTTCCTAATTATGCAGACTTTCTCATTGTCCTCAGTTCCCAGTAATCCTTACATACTCTATTCATTTCCAGCCATTCTTACTTTCTCTTTCACATTTCATGTTCTACGTTTTCTTTTTTCTCCACATCCCTCACATCCATCATTGTTATTCCTTTCAATCATATGTAATATCTCATTAATAGGAACATGCCCTTTAGTCTCCCAGTTGCTACTTCTTCTCTTCCAATTCTCCCATTAAAATTCCTCATTCATACAGTTTTTTTTTTGTATTTTATATCAATGTCTTCCCTTTTTAAATCTTGATTTCATTTATCTTATAAAATCTAAATTTATTTATTTTGATAGCTGATTTCCATCCTCCCTTTAACCAAACTGAACAATAATAATGATAGTTATAGACTCTTTCAAAACACTTTTAGCAATTAGCCTTTTACTCCTTTGGGCCCATGTACCCAAGCAAATTGAATATAAAAACCACCCCTATATAAATCTAAATTGTTGAATTTATAATAGTAAGTGATAAAAGGTGATTTGATGGGAAAATTGATTTCAAAACCCCCAGAAATAATTCAGTTTTTTAATATTTAAAATATCTAGATGCTCCATGTTTTTGGCCTGAATGCAGTCCAATTCTAGACGGGGGTGTCAGAACCATGTTGGATCTTATCAATATGCATAGGGCGGGGCTTTTCTTTCTTTTTTTAGGGGGTTATAAGTTAGTATTTGCTCCACTATGGGGTAACATAACAGTCAATAAAACCGTATGCGTACATGTCTCAGTTTGTAAATGAAAATCAATAACGTAAATAAATGAAGCATTTGTGTTTGTGCTTTGTTGTCATTTCATTGTCATGTCATTTAGAAAGTTAAAACTTTGAAATAACTTTAATTTAACCCTTTATAGGGTTAAATAGGCATATAGTGAAAAAAGAAACACAAGTTTTTTGGTACAACATAAACTTAGAGGCAACACTGAAAACATAATGCTACCACTTTTGGCATTTCCTTAATCATATTTAGTTACTTTAATGCAATCATTTCATGTTAGCAGGGTAGGACATAAAAAAATGTCTTAAATTAACTAAATATGATTAAGTAAATGCCAAAAGCATTTTTTTTCAGTGAATAATGCTGATACTGGCACTTACATTTTTGAGTATATATGCCTAAATATAATATTAACTAGGCTTATTAACTTTTAAACTTTACTTTTTAACTTTTCAATTAGCTTTTCACCTTTTTTCTTGACTTGTTAGCTTTTTTTCAACTTAATTTACAGTAGGTATCGTTCAAGGGTTCATCTTATTGGTCAAATGACATAATAATATGCATAGCCATGTAGGAGCATCTTTGGTGAATCGTTGGACATTGATTTGTGCTTCTAGACCTCTCATAGGGGGGGGGGGGGGGGGCTTCATTTGTAAGGGGTATGCACAGTGGCGGTTATAGACAAAAATGTACCAGGGGGCCAGGAAGGGGCCTGCGTGTGTCCATGGGGGCCCAGAAAAGCATGAAATAAAAAACGGAGTCTACAGGACTTATACAGGAATGAGTAACTCTTATTAAATAATCTTAATAGCATCAACAAGTACCCATTACTCTCATATATATATATATATATATATATATATATATATATATATATATATATATATATATATATATATATATAGATATATACATATATATATATAGATATATACATATATATATAGCCTCTTCTCCGCCTTAAGCTTCTTTTCTGAAGCTTTCCGGACACAGTTCCGCACAAACAAACAGAACCAGTTATATCTGATATAATATACCTGATGGAATTGTTTTTTATAAACATTCTTTTTAATTAAAGCATTTTTAAATGCAAAGTTAATCACATTGAATGAATTGTGATGCCAAGTAAGGCCTTTCTTTAAAAAAATAATAATTTAATGACTTTTAATGTTTCTTAATGACCTGCAGAAACCCTGCAGAGATTCAAATATAGTAAGCAGCAAGAAGTAAAATTTATATTCAATTAGGTTTAATTAAAATTCCATGTCTTATTAGGTCAATTATACATTCATAATTACAGTTTTCTATAAAATCTGAATTAGAACTCAAGGAAAACTGATAAATTCAGCTGTTAAAATTAGAGTATTTTTTACATTTGTTTTGAAAAAACATTTAGCAGATGAAAACTGGGATCCTATCTCAATTCCACTGAAGTTATCACCTTATTGTTTTTAAAGCTACAGTGTGTAATAATTACAGGGATATACAGTCAGAAATGTAATATATTATACATAACTGTTATTTATCATCATCTACGAGCCTCTTAACCTTAATATTTGCGTTGCCTTAGAATTCGTTATTTATAATTACATAGGAGCGGGTCTCGCAGCCATGGAGGCAGACATCTTTGCGCTACGGCAGCGCAGAGCCAACAAACTAGCGATTGCGAGATCGCCCATTACGCTCGAAAGTAACTACGGCAAGTTGAGAGAGATGAACTGAGACGGTACTGAACAATAGATGGCAGTATTAAAATTATCTATGTAAACAAACCTCATCACTTGAGAAGGTAGGTGATGTGGACGTCGTGGAAGACATTTTGTCCCGTAACGCTCGCCGTACTGTTGGGGGGAGAAGCGGTGGGGACTGCGGTCTGCAGTCTGGACGTTAGATGTCGCTGAAAATTACACACTGTAGCTTTAAATCATTAGTAAAACAGAATTTGTAAAGAAAAAAAACTTAAACAGATCCAAAGGACCTATCAGTAACCATGTCTGTTCCAGCACGTATCATCATTAGAATTTTAGTATTATGTCTTCTGTACAGGGGCCACAACAGGGACCAGGACATGATCTGCAGGGGCACTGGCCCCCGTTGGCCCCTGTCTAGAACCGCCCATGGGTATGCAAGTGATCAAAAACGCTAACTTGGCTTATAAAGGGTTAAATAAATTATACATTTGCACTTGTAAATTTGTGACTCATGTTCATAATTTCTTTATTCATAAGCATAAAATAGTGAATTGCAATCATACATTTTCAATTCCTATTGGTAAATTTTTTGATTCATATTCATAATTAGTCCTTTTACAGCTGCTTTTTCTATCTCTGCTTCTGTCTCCTTGAACCCCAGTGGGCCTCGGCAGATGGCCGCTCACACTGAGCCTGGTTCTGCTGGAGGTTTCTTCCTGTTAACAGGGAGTTTTTCCTCTCCACTGTCGCTACAAGTAGGCTATGATTAGTTTAAGGGATTGCATTGGTTTTCTTTACATAGAAAACTTTGAATCAATTTGACTGGATGATCTGGTTAAACTGTAAAGAGTCTTGAGATGACTTGTGTTGTGAATTGGCGCTAAATAAACTGAATTAAATTAGTGATTCAGATTCTGAAATTTGTGAGTTAGTGATTATTACCTGTATTGTTGCATAGTTGTGCTTTTCTAACTTATTAATTACTATTCATTTCAAAACTTCCATTCTCTCATGTATCTATTGGTTGACAATAAACACAAATAAAAAAAACGAATGACATTATTTAGAAATCTACGTTGTTATTGAAAGTTATCTTATCCCAGACTTTCTTTCTTTCTTTTATATTGGCTCTGTGACTCTTATTATTGTGCACGTGCGCAAACTTCCCTCCACGCGGGGCCAGGGGATAAATGCCAATTATCCAATTAACGCCGTCAGCCAAAGGTTCGGCCTCATCGCTGCCTTTTTCCCAATTAAACAGAAACGCGTGAAAGCTGTGCTCTACTTAGAGAAGGCCGACCGGGACACGCGTGTCTTTCTCAGAAACAGAAAACACTGTGAATGTCCAGTGGGGTGGGGGGGAGAAAAACAAATAAGTTAGTGTGAGTGAAGCACGACAGACAGAAATATGCAGGCTTTAGTGAACGCCTTCATGCGCTGCCTCTCCTTCCTCCTGCCTCCTTCTTGGCTTTGTGTCAGCTCTTGCCTGTGGGTTGGGAATGACTGTGAAGACGCGCTGCAGCGGCCCAATCCGAGAGCTCGTTTCAAAAGCAAAAAGCCTCTTACATATGAGGAAGTGAGGGTAGCAGCGGCAGCAGCAGAAGGAGGCTCCAGCCCCTCGCTCTCATCAGGTCCAGGCTGCGTCTCGCTGGCCGCTATAAGCCCCGCTACACTTCAGGGCCCTCCGGCGGCTCGGATCTGGATCGGGGCTCTCTGGCGAGCCGTGGAGCGCGTCCTTGGAGCCCCCTGGGTCTTTCTCCGCTATCGCTGCTGTCCGAAGAAGCATCGATCGGCTTTGCGCATTCCGCGTCCTGCCCGCGCCTTAGAGCCGACCCAGATTAGAAGCTTCCAGGGAGCCGCTGCCACCCCGGACCGGGAGGGACCCGGCTGGAGCAACATGAGCGGGGTCCCCGGCGCGAACCCGACGGATGCACACGCGGACCAGAGCGTTGATGAGATCATCACCGTGGACCAGCACTCCCAGGAGATTGGGACGGTGACCATCACGGTGGCGATCCAGGCGGCGGAGGACGAGGAGCCTGATGAGGAGCGAGCCGGGAATGTGGAATGCCTCCGAGGGAGCTGCAGCGAGGACGAGCTGGGAAGGCACGACAAATCAAGGTAGGACTTTACTGCTCCATATGCGTGATTGGGTTTAAGAATTCACGTAAACATGTGAAGTTCCTCCCTAACAACCACTCTGACTTCAGCTGGAGGTGGAATAATGGATGTAATGAAAGCTGATCAGCTGTTAAAGTGGAGGAGCCTTAATCTTGTTTTGTCAAATGTTTAAGAAAACACACAAAACAAAAGCAGAACAAAAGAAACTGACATTCCGACAGGTGTGGTGTCCCTGTGACGGCAAAACAAAGCCGCGTTAACCCACTCTGACATGGTTTCCTCAGACGCACCTGATGGGTTTTACCACTATTACCGGGAAGTGTTTCCAAGGCTGTAAAACAGACACCTGAGTCTGGAAGGACGGCAGCCTTCGCTTTAATCTAATTCCCCTGCGTCATGGCTGGCTATTTTTATCCTCTGGTCTATAAGGTCCCCACTCTGTGCGCGCAAAACAGTGAGTCAGTGTGTGGTGGATAGGGTAAGCCAAAGGTTAAGATGGGTCAGGCTTTACTCCAGGCGTTTTGTTTTTACTCACAGGTTGGAAAACAGATCTCTGCTCATGATAAACTGATTACTACAGCATTCCTTTAGATAATCTGTTTCAGTTTGATTAGAAATAAGGGTTAAATTCAGATATTCAGCATGACTTTTGAATACTAGAGGCTGCATGTTTCAGAAGTCCTGTGGATGTGGGTCCCTGGCTGCATGGTCAGTCTGCTGGGAAGCTGATTGAAGGGGGGTGTGTGAAGGAGGGAGGAGGTGATGAGTCATGCACAAATTTCATTCAGCCCCTCACTCCAATCTACAGGAGTACTCTGCTTCGGTCCCGGTGGGCTTGGGGCCATAACATCAGCTACATGATGATGATGATGAAGAAGTTGGTTTTAGGGAAGTTAAACTGTGTAGCACTGATTGGGTAATTTAATGTCCAGGGAAAAGGAGCAGTTGAAATAGAAGACAAACCATAAATGTAAATAAGATTCATTTTTTTCATAAATGGCAGAAAATGCAATGTCTAAAAAGAAGACATGTGACAAGTTTTGTTTTTAGTTCTGAATTAAGGGTGAGAATATCCATCCATCCATTTTCTGACACGCTTTATCCCAGCTGGGGTTGTGAGGGGTGTCTATCTCCAGCTGTCTACGGGCGAGAGGCGGGGTCCATCCTGGACGGATCGCCAGTCCATCGCAGGGCGACACAGAGACAAACAGGACCATCATTCATGCACACACTCACACCTAAGGAGAATTTAGAGAGGCTAAGGGTGAGAATATTTGTCATTATTTTTGGCACACTCCTGTTTTGTTTTTGTTTTAACATGTTTGTTCCAGAGCTGCAAAATAAACTATTTTACCTAAACCTCTTTTTTAGGATGTTTCATGTCCAACAAAGAACTATTTGGCATCAGAGCTGATTTTTATTTTTTTCAAAGCAAACTGCTTCTTTTTTTTATCACTCTGGAAGCAGCGATTTGGCTGATTTGATGCCAGAAAAAGCACAATAACAGAAGTCATTCTGAACATAAATCTTTTTCTTTTTTTTCAACCACCATTCCTCGGTTTGTCTGGTTTTGATTCTAAACCCTTAATTCTATGATTTTAAAACAGTAGTAGGCTGATTGTTCTTCTAAAAAAAACTGAAATATTTTCACTTATTTCAGATAATAAAATGAATAGTATACAGATTCATTACAGAGTAAAGGTTTAAGGTCTGTTCTCAAAATTTGGTGCATTCTGATGCTTTTGCTAAAAAAGCTGATTGTTTATGACGTATTTTCATGGAAAGTTAAGTAGAAGGACAAAGTGAGGTAGGAAAATGTGCCCCAGCAACAGATGACCACGGTCTTTTGATAGATTCGGGAATATAAGGAAGCTCCATAGAGTGGAGTCTGACAGACACATCAGAACTGTTATCTGGGCGGAAGAGAAGAACCGGAGTCTCAGTGGTCTGAGGTCTGCTTTTCAGATGCAAGTAAAGTTTGCAACAATCAGTAAATAATAGTCACAAAGTCTGGAGGAGCAAACTGGCCTGACCAGGAAGTCAACAGGAAGATGAGGCAACAACAGACCCAACATCCAGATGACCTGAGGACTGCTTCTTCTAACACGTCAGCTCCTTATAAAAAATGTTGTATGATCTCATGCAATTTAATTTTGAGAGCTCTCGTTACTGTTTTTAAGCTTTATTACAAGACATGAAGGTTAGACATGTACATGTTAGACATTCTGTGTAATGAAACTATATACCATAATGTAAACATTTCCCTCTGAGTAACAACTATTGAAAATCTTCAAGATCTCCTACTTTGGGATGCATGTGAATGTTGGGTCTGAATCAGAGATGGGAAGTAACGAAGTACAAATACTTCGTTACTGTACTCAAGTAGATTTTTCTGATATATTTACTTTACTTTACTACTTATTTTTATGGCGACTTTTTACTTCTACTCCTTACATTTTAAAAATTGTCTCGTTACTTTAGTTTTGAATCATTTTAATGGAGTTACCGTTATTATTTTTCACGTCATCAATACCAAATTCAATCTAATTGGATGGGAATCTACGTTGCATTTGACGCACCACTACAAGATGAATCAACAGATTCGGCGGTATTCATTGGCGGCAAATCATTGCAGCTTGGTGGCGGTGGCGTTAGCATAGTAGCATGGACGACGAGATGATTGAAAATGAACACAACGGAGATCTAGTCCTATTGGCAGACATCCATTTAAAATGTAGGCAACGGCATGAAAAAAGTGGTTTTTACTTTTATACTTTAAGTAAATTTACAAGCCTGTACTTTGTTACTTTTACTTGAGTAAAGAAGTTTAATCAGTACTTCCACTTTTACCAGAGTATTTTTTAACACAAGTATCTGTACTTTTACTCAAGTACGGAAAGTGAGTACTTTTGCCATCTCTGGTCTGAATCCTAAATCATTCCTGGGTTTCTAGAAGTCTTTTGAATTCTGATCTCTGGCACACACTTTTTTTTGACCAACTAGATTCTGTTTTACCTTAAAACATTTTAGGAAATGATCAGCCATCTGATTTTTATTTTAGTTTTTTATATAGACAGCTGATGATTTTTGGAGACTGATCATGTTTTTACAGAGCTAATCTATATAGTGCAAGATATATTGTAATGTGAGCGAGAGTATGCATTAATGTATGAGGAAATAACTGGGTCAAAAATGAACCCACATATAGTCCTGCCTGTCAGATGAGAACTGATTGCACTTTTTTTTTTTTTTAAAGGTACATTACAAGACCCTCTGTGAAATGTTGGAATTAAAAACTTAAACATTAAGCAGTGTCTATTAAAAGGCATCAAAGTTTTATAGTACAAAAGTGGGTAATGTGTTTTACGTTGTTGTAAATGTAGGGAAAGTTACAATTGACATGAATTAAAGGGACACTATGCAACATTTTTCAGTTAATTAATGTGTTCCATAACGTTATGGATGATTAAATGAGTCATTTCAGGTTGAACAAAGGTATTCTCGGCCGCCCTGGTGGTCTGTGGGGGAAATACTGCACTTGCAACTGCAGGAGCACCGACCCGCACCCACAGGCTCAGAAGTCTCGTGAGAGTCAGTCTTGCTTTACGGCGAGAACTGCTACACCCCCCAGTTAAAAGCATTCTCGTTGCAAGCACAGTGGCAATCTTTGTGCAGTTATGCTACGTTCACGCAGCAAAAGCAGCAAAATCGCATCTGCTGCTTCATTTTTGCTGCTTGTACCAGTTAGTACTGACGCGCGGCTGAAGCAGTTTTGCTGCTCTGGCTGCAAAAGTGTGTCTGACGCGCGGTGGGCGGAGCTTCACTATCCTTTCTCTGCCTTGCAGCTATATTTGCTGTGATCAGTGGGAATAAAGTAGTTTTAATATGTTTTTAAGTGAGAAAATACACCTGAAAACGTAATCAGTGCAGTCAGTTCATCCAGATTATTATCCTGCCTTCAATATTTTTTCTGTCGGAGCCGCTCAGACCCCCACATACCAGGGATGCGCCGACAGTATGGATCCCTTCATCAGCAGCGGTTCACCGAGGCAGCTGGTAGGTGTTTTTCATCTAAATAATCCAAACTGCATATTCTGCCGGCAGATTTCTGCCTTTTAAGTTAATTTAGGCGTCAATAAACTGTTTAAGAGGAGTGATCATCAGCGCTGTGTCTCTCTCCCTGCGTTAAACGCACCCGACGCGCTGCTGCAGCCGCTCAGACGTGCAGCGCCTGCAGCTCAAAACGCGCTGCGGGACCTTTGCATGTAAACTCGCTGCTTCTGTCGCGCCAGCTACATCCAGTGTGAACGCAGCGTTAGTCATTCGCTGCTAAGCTCAAAACAACCGCGCCTGGCTTGACGGAGAAACCAGGAGAACAGCTGAGCATATTTACGACAGTGCACTTTTACTTCCGCCCTCTGGAGGGAGCCTCACTGGAAAATCAACACCGGTTGCATAGTGTACCTTTAAAGCACTAAACCTCTCTGTAGGTAAGGAGGGAGGGGAAAAAAAACAAAAGTAATTTGCATAAAAGCAGAGAAATATATGGAGGTAATTTTGTTTCATCATTGATGCGAGCAAGAACATGTTTTATAAACTGGTTTTCAGTGAGGGGAATTATTTTTTTTTTTACATCTATTTAATATTTTCAAATTTAATTACTTTAGATTTCTGTCTTAGATTGAGTTTTAAGAATAGCTTTTTTTTTATTTCATTTTATAGATTAGATTAGCTTCACTTCTGGGGCTTTGCTCTGAAGTGAGGAGTGAAGACCCATTTCTGGAGGTCTACATGGATACTTATGACTAAAACCGTCAATGTGTGCATCAAGCACCATCTTTTCTATATGCATTGAAGTTAAGAGAATGTGATCTGTGAAATGCAACAAAAAATTTAATTTGGATGGGATTGTAAGCAGTTTTAAATTTAATTTTTGGGTTGCATTTTTTCACATTTAAATTTACAAAATGTGTTCTTTGCTTGCAACAATAATGGTGCAAAAGTCACTCCATAGATTGGAGTTGTAAAATCATAATAGATCTATAATAGTAATTTAAAGATGTGACTGTAGCTCATTGAAGAAAAACTGGTTTTGGGGGGTGTGAATCAGTTTTTGTAGCTTTGCAGAGCTGGGTGTCAAAAGCACATTCCCCGAAAAACTAAATGGATTATGAATCAAATGGGGGGCTAAAATGGGTCCCTGTGGAACACCAATAGGGATTGTGAGCTAAAAGTTCTCAACTATAACTACTGATTAACTACTGACATGCACAATTTTAAACCAGTCATGTAAAGAATATCATTTAAAGAAAAAGTCGTGCAGATAATAAAAATATGGGATTATAGAAATGTAGAGATTGGATCTAGAAGATCTATGGTTCAGTTAGATGCCAGGTTTTTTGTCATGTTCAACTGTTGGAACCCAAATAAGTAGCTTAGATTAAGATGAGGCTAGTTGATATTTAGTATTTACACAATATCTTAACATATATAAATTGTGGTTAAAGGTTAAAGAAATGAACAATCTTAATGAAGCTTTTTTTATTATTGAGGTTGATATGTTGAACCACCATATTCTCTGTGGGAGGGAGAGTCTGTGACTGCTCCCTTCAGATGGAGGGCCCTTGGCAGTTTCAGGACTTCATGGATTTGGACATGAGGTCTGGTTCTAAGGCACCGAGCCCCAGCTTGTTGACGGCTGTAAGGAAAAATGTGAAAGTAGGAGGGGGAAGCAGGAAGTCGCTGGTTGGTTTAGAGAGAAATGTCAGAATGAAGCTGCTTCTCTTCCAAACATTTGTAAGCCTCTGGTTTATCGTCTTAAAGAAGCGTGCAACAGTTGTGATGTGGGTGCTTTAGTTTGAAACATTGAAACACTTAAATTTCTCAGCTAATCTCCCGACTGTGATCCATGTTCTCTTCCCACACACAGTGGTGCAGGCACCAGTGGAGGGGAGTTGGAGGAGGAGAGCTGGCAGCCCCCAGATACGGAGCTCATCCAAAAGCTGGTCACTCAGATCGAGTACTACCTGTCTGATGAGAACCTGGAGCACGACGCCTTCCTGCTTAAACACGTCAGACGCAATAAACTGGGGTTTGTTAGTGTCAAGCTGCTCACCTCGTTCAAAAAGGTAACCATGACTGCAAACATTCACCAGCGATATCATTTGAATAAGCAAACCTCTAAGGTAGATGGCTAACAAGGCTATAATGAGCAGAGTTACTATGTGTCTCTAACATGCTAAATACCCCGCTGCAGGCTATTTTTATACATTTAATGAAAACGTTTTCTTTGTTCTCAAGTTCCAAAGTGAGACATCCAACCGCAATTTGCATTTCTAACATTTAATGAAAGCATCTCGAAAGAGCTTTTTTTTTTTTTTTTCTTGTTTGTATTTCCGTTTGACACAGAGGCTGATTGTGTGACTGGATGTTTCTAGTGTCAGCGTGACTACCCATGGCTGTTTTTTTTATAATGATGTTCTCACATTGATTCACAACAGCAGGTGCTACTTTAGGCTCATGCATATTGGTTGGCTTGTAATTGTTTCCATCTGTTTATGCCGGAATATCTCACTAGGCTAAACATGGCTAATTTGGACTGAGGAAGAACTGAAGTGTAAGAACAACAATGCATAAAGGTAGATTATCAAGGTATAAGCCTAATCTAAAAGGACCGAAATCCAGCTGATCATTAAAAGATAAGGCTATATACTCGATGCCTGTTCTGATAGTGTTATGATCGTCCTTTTTGAGCATAAATAGAACCTCAGCACCGGGTGCCATGGGCTGACATAAACAGACATGGGCAGACTACTGGCAGTACCGCTGAACTACAAGAAAGCTAGAGAGTGGCCGATGACACAGCTGCTAGATGCGTCCCCACCTTGCTGTAATGTCTGGTGGGGGGGGGAGGATGGGGCTTAGCACTGCTAACTCTTGTAGCATTCTCAGCCAGGATATGTTCTCGCATGTCTATTAACTAGTACCCCATTTACACTACCCTTGAAAAACGGTGTCGAGACCGGTCCGAGCTCGGATCAGTTAACCAGGCCGAGCTCGGTTCTGACGACCGTTTACACATCACGCTATCTCGATTCCTCGCCTCCTAGTGACGATCTGCGGTATTACTGCCAGTATTAAAGGAGGAAATCAAGCAGTTGGTGGCGGTAATGCACCAAAAGTTATTTGCCAACCACCATAAAACACAAGAAGAAGAAGACGAAGTAGGAGGGAATCGAGCAAATTAAAATGGCGACGCCCGTCACATTCAGAAAGTTATGCTTGATTATTATTGCTGTACTTCGGTGTTATTTAAAATGCCATTATTTAAAATTTTGCGTGGAGAAGATTTCGATTGTTGTTTATAGTTGAAGAAGTTGTTGTTCTTCTTCTTCTGTTTCTGGAGGGGCATTACCGCCACCTACTGGAATGGAGTGTGAATCGCGATGTGCAGCCAGACGGAGATGATGCGTTCTGCTCATGCGCTCTTGTTATCAGAGAACCGAGCCAGGAAAAAGCCGAGCCCACCTCTGGAACTGGTCTGCAGTTAGCTCGGTTCGGTTGTGTCTAGCTCGGTTCAGTTCAGTTTGCTTTCCATTTACACACGATAAGTTATACCAGTTACTGAGCTCGGACCGGTCTCTGCACGGTTTTTCAAGGGTAGTGTAAATGAGGTATAGGACTTCAAACTGCTTCCCGAGCTTTAGCTCCAGTATAAGTCGGGCTGTTTTCCTAGCGCAACTCAAGCTCTTTTTAACTTGGAATAAAACGTCTGATTGCCAGTAGGATGTCATAATTTTTCATTTAAAACATTTTATGCAACCAGTGAGTTGGTAGAGTATAGTTTCAGAAATAGTTCAAATAATATGACTGCACCTTTAAGTATAAAGATGAGAATGTCTGTTGGACCAATTTTAAAAGTCAAAAGGATCTCTGTTCTTGCTTATGTAGATTTTGTCTCATTGCAGGTTAAACACTTGACTCGTGACTGGAGAACAACTGCCTATGCACTAAAACACTCCAAAATCCTTGAGCTCAATGACGAGGGGCGAAAGGTGCGCCGCAAATCAGCTGTACCGGTCTTTGCCAGCGAATCATTGCCCAGCCGCATGCTACTGCTGAGTGACTTGCAGAAGTGGCCCGAGCTGGCTGCTATCACTAAGGATAATGGAAGCAATGAGGGAGGAGCCACTCAGCAGGAGCAGCTGATGAAGCTGCTGCTCAAAGCATTTGGGACGTACGGAGCCATTGCCTCAGTAAGAGTCTTAAAGCCAGGGAAGGACCTGCCGGCAGATCTGAAAAGGCTGAGTGGGCGCTACGCTCAGCTAGGCAATGAGGAGTGTGCGATTGTGGAGTTTGAGGAAGTGGAGGCTGCTGTAAAAGCCAATGAGGCTGTAGGGGGGGAGGATGGAGGAACCAGTTCGCTGGGGTTGAAAGTGGTCTTGATTGGAACAAAGCCACCAAAGAAAAAGGTACCCAAAGAGCGACCTCGGGAAGAGGGGGGGATGCGAAAAAGTCGCTCTCTCAACAGCAGAGTCCGAGAGCTTCAGTACCATGGCGATGACTCTGCATGCAGCTCATCGGAGACGGAAAGCACCCCCACTTCACCCAGGCTGGCAAGAAAGTCCCAATCCTGCAACAAGCTAAGCCCTACCACTGCTGGCATCAGCTTCCAGAACAATCATCTGAGTCCTGGTATATCGCCTCGTAACAGCCCATGGTCCAGCCCCCGAGCCAGCCCCTGTCCTCAGCGCAAAGCATCCCACACCCACAAGTCTCCTTTGGCTAGCGATGGTAGGCTAAGCCCTGAAGCTGGGCGCCGGTGGGCAGACTACTCCTCGGACAGTAGCCTGACCCCTTCAGGGAGCCCGTGGGTTCAGCGGCGCAAGCAGGTGGCGTCTCAAGAGAGCAGTCCGGTCGGCAGCCCCATGCTGGGGCGAAAAATCCAGAATGCTGACGGGCTGCCGCCAGGTGTAATGAGGCTGCCAAGGGGTCCTGATGGAACCCGTGGCTTTCATGGAGTCACTGTTGCTGAGAGGGGAAAGACTGCCGCCACGCAAACTTGATAACACGACACAAGTTGATGCTTTCCCATCCAAATCCCAGAAAAAAAATCAAAATTGTGAGGTTCCTGGCCTTGCTGCTCAGCTCCCCTCCTACATTTGAGACTGTGTGTAGATATATTTTTGTTGAGTGCATCAGTTTTCAGTCTGTTATATTTTTATACAACATTTTGTGTTACCATGGTAATGTTAGAGGATTACCAATGGAAAAGAAAGTGAATGTAAACTGATTATGGCTTTGAGAGAAAGACGGATGCCATTGAAAGGAACCTTGTTGCCCCTCATTGCGACATGGTCCCTTTGTGGCATCTGTAAGGGACCACAATGCCTCCATTTCTCTCTAAACTTCTTCTCTTTGAGTTGAGCTAGAGAAAGAACACCTTTTGCTTTTTCAGCGTAAACTCTTGTCCAGTGTAAAAGTTTGCAACATCGTCTGTTGGATGACATGTGGATGTTGGAGTGGCATATGGGCACATGGACCTGGATATCACCATATGCCTTTTCTGTATTTGTCGAGCATAAATTCTGTTTTTCAAAAGCTGTTTGAATTGAGGCCATACCAGCTCCACTGCCATAACCGGATAAACATCACGTTTTGGTTTGGTTCAGTTTTTATTATTTTTATTTCATTATGTTCAACATGCTTTTGGCGTTTTGTAGGGATCTCCTCTAAGCCCTGCGCGTGTTTAGCAGGCAGCTGCTTTATTTATATTATTTTAGCTTTGTTTTTTTCCAGTCTAAGCCCAAAGTGGGGTTTTGAGGGAGATTCGGGTCAGGAGGGATTGATGCTCTCATGTGTTTGAGGGGGGGGGCGGGGATTTGCCTTCACTTCAGAGCTGGGGTATTTGTACACTAAAATTCCTATTGTACAAATAAATCACTGAAACTGCAGTTTGACTTTTTTCTTTATTTGAAAAAAAATCAGCAAAACAAGCTCAATTTTTCTTAAATGCTTGTCAGAGCTTTTGTGTGGGAACAGAAATTATACTTAACTGCCTTTCTGACATGCATTGGGGATAAAGAGTACATGCTTCCATTTAAATGTCAGGTTTTTGTAAATTTCCTTATTTTAGGAAAATGATAAATCATTTTAAAACTTTTCCTTGTCTGACAAACTGAAAGGTGGATCTGTTAAGGGGAGTATATTGGTACGCGTTTTGATGAATGAGGGCGAGTTCAGATTCTGTAAAGCTCATTTCTACATGCCTGCTAGCGTTGAAATGGCCTCCTTCCCTGGGTAATTGGTCTTTCTGGAACCAAGGGCTCGATCGGAGTAATTCAAAGCCAAATTCCCGCACTCCTGCCCTTGCGTACTTCATTGCATGTTCCTGCTGAGGGTGCAAAGTGTGTCCAAGTCCTCCAGATCACTCTTTTGCCCCACTCACCCCCTATATACCCTTGATTCACACTTGAGATAACCCTGCATCAAGGTGGGCTTCAGTGAAGTGAATTGCCCACAATTTATTGGTGCATGTGACGTTTTAAAAAAACAAAAAAAAGTGCAAATGGGCAGATTAAGCTCCTGTGCTTTGCCATTTGAATTTGATGAACATTAAATTCCTTGTAAAACATCCACATCCATTCAATTCTCCAGAACCTCTGGTTTTGTTGATCAGAGGATGAGTTTAAGATTTATGTTTAGAGATTTTTTTTTTATTATTTACAAACCTAAATAAGCATAACCTTAGATCCAATAAAACATGCAAAGCCATATCTCAGCCCTTAAATTTCAATTAAGATGACTGTTTAAATTCATCACATTTCATTAACCTTCCCAAACGAAATGGAAATATTTATGATGCATACTTGCCAATAAATGCATGATTTAATTATTAATCTGTCAAATACTTATTCAGCATTTACTCAAATACCACTTAATATATCAAAAAGTACCAAATGGCCCATTCCTCCAAGAGATGAAGAAACCCAATTTAAAAAGCCAAACCGAAAACATGTTTGAGGAAATTTTAAAGAAGCTGATAAATTTTGTTCAATTAAAAAGGAAAGAATTGCCTGTATTTGCTGCATCTGTGTTCTGCTCTTGCATTACATAATTGATTAATCATGAATGATATTTCAAATGTTTAATTTGCTCACAGATTCTACATTGACAGTTTAAGTTGTTTTTTAAAGAGATTTAGATACATTTTCTTAAAACTATGAAAACATAAACTCCAATTAAAATAAGTTATGAAAGGTCTGAATTAGTACTTAGTAAAAACGGGGAGCTGTGGACTCGGACCCTTAAGTGTTCTTCCTCCAAGTGCAGGTTTTATAGTGGGGCTTAGTGTGAGTATTGGGATTGGGGCCAAATTTGTAAGGACATTTGGCCACGGCGGAGGGTGTCTGCATTCGCCATAATTGCTAACCAAAAGGTGCTAAAAGGAAGGAGAAGCAGGTAGCTTCTTGGTGCTAATTCAGTTAGCACAGAGACTTGCTGACATTTCTAGCCAATGCTAGGAGCTTTATGGCTGCCCACAATCAAACCTCATGGAGTTTAACAAAAATACATCTTTTTGTGATGAAGGGCAAAAAGCAACATCATTTTGACTTTAGGCTAAGCGGAACACTTCTGTTCCTTCCCTGCTAGACATTTCAGGCATTATAAACTTGTAAACTTCATTTTTATGTGATCTTTCTTTTGAAACTTCTGTCTAAGCAGTTAGAAATGTGTCAGAAAAGGGCGTGCAGGTGGAGCGGTGGTTAGGGCGGAGACCTTAGTCCTCGGCGCAGCCAACCCAGGTTCCAATCCGACCTGTGGTCCTTTGACGCATGTCTTTTCCCCTTTCCTGTCAGCTTACTGTCGAAAAAACGAGCCACTACTGGCGTAAAAAAAAAAAGAAATGTCAGAAAACGAAAATCCAGTATAATTGAAAATAGTTGCTTCATATTTACTGCAGTATTTAATATAGACCTTCAGATGTTCATTACACTATTATGTTGATGATGATGCCTAATCTGTTCATTCTTGTTATAGAGTGTTTGACCATATTTCTATCATCTTACACAATACTGCAAATAACATACAATAAACATTTGACTATTAAAACATATACAGCTAATTAATACAGTATCTTCATAGTACCTGCTCTACCTGTTTCTCTCCTCACTGCTCCTCTTGCTGCTTGGACCAAAGCGGAGGTCTGTTTGACTCGGCCTTTCCCACATTATCCTGTTTTCCCTTTAGTGAAGAATATCAACACAGTCAAAAGTTAAAATAAAAGAAATTAAAACAATATATAATTTCACCATCTTTCAAAAGGTTCATTTCGTCATTTCACCACATTAAGATGAAATAAAAAGAAATTAGTTCTGCAGGTTCCAGAGCAGCCCAATGTCAAAGTATGAAGTTGTAAAAATAACTATAAATAAGTATAATTAATAAATAAGATAAAATATGCACATTTAGGTCATTATGTAAAACAAACAAATATAGGAGTCTACAACATTACAGCTGTAAATAACAGTTTACAAAGTTACCACAGACTAGTTTTTACTTTGAAAATTAACCGGATATTTTATTTTATACACAATTCCTGACACTGCTCAGTGCTGTCTGCATTCAATATCCAACACTGAGTCACCAACGCTGAGTAAACGTTTCATTTTCAGTTCAAGACGTCGCTAATGTATCAATCGCATTATGAATATTGATTCAGCTGCTGGATATTGACTGATCGGTAGCGACAGTTAAATCATCTTTGGTTCAATGTTCCTTTGCTGTCCGAGTATTTTGCTGGGCTGAAATCTTTCCTCATGAAAATGCATGTTTTTCTCACCATTATCTACAACTTAAACTGCATCAACAACACCTACATTAGTAGCTTGATGTGCTCCTCTTCCGGTGATTGCCGTGACTCAGGAACTCACTAAAGCTGTGTCAGAATGTCCGCCCTAATCATAATATAGGGCACTATATGGTGGTCACGCCCTTTTAGATGAGTGTGTAGTGGATGAAAAAGTAGTGGATTCGAAATTTTCCGGGATTTCTTTTCACTACCCAACAGTAGCGACAAATCACCAAGATGGCGCAGGCACCATGCGAGGAGGCAGAACAGTCATGTGACCAATGAGGATGGAAAAGCAGTGATCATCTGTCTCAACGGTCAGTTAACTGAGTTTACTACAAATTCCACTATATAGTCCCCTCTCTATTCGGACACAGCCTAACAGCGTATGTAACCTGTGTGTGGCAGTTACTATAGCGACAGTGTTGTGTTGATGCCCAAACCCTGAAGCTACTTTTTTTATTAGTCATGCTATTCTTGGCTCTTCAAATATAAAACACCTCGCATATTTTTGGGGGACCTATTTTACCGTCCTGCAGTCCGTTTCACTGTAATTTTTTTTAGCTTATCTATCACTATTTAAAATATTAATAAAAAAAAATACCAAGGACATGACCTCGGTTTCCTCAATGGTAGTTACGGCGCTGGTGACTGGTTCAAATATCCTCATCCTTTTGAGTCTTCAGTTTTATAACAGAGCTTCAGCCATTCCCTACGTTGGTGTAATTTTTAAGCTCTTTTTCGATAGGCTGTAGTCCCAATTTGGTCATTGTCATTCATGTGCGTGTCTGCCACGAAATGACGTAAGCCTGAAGGCTGTCTGGATTCAGCACAGCGGCAGGAGCTCCTTTCCTTCCCTGGATACTATTCTGTTGACTCAGCGAAAGTTGAAGGAAGAACAGGAGGTAGGAGCTACAATTTGAGGCAATTGGAAGTAGGTCTGGTTCAAGAAAATTTAAGATCTGTCAAAAAAACTGATATTTAAATGGAAGAAAACAATATTTAGTTCAATATGCATAAAGTGACCCCTTTTTATTATTTTTAACACAATTTTTAAATACTCTTATTTCAACATGCTGTATGCATTTTATTATTCTCCCCAAAACATTATGGTTTATAACCTAAAGCATATGGAAGTCAAATTTGGGCAACATCATATTAGTTTTTTTTCCTTAGGCCACAAATGCAGCCTGCATTAATAAGGAAGCTTTTTAGAACGGTTCCAAATAATAGTTATTTCTTTAATACTCATAGTATTGTAATAATGTTGCATTGCCAGCATCACAATAATATTGAATTGGTTGACACACGACAAAGTAAAAACAAAACTGTTTTCACCAAAAGAAGCTGGATTCGAAAAGGTCCGTTGAGACGCTTGGATCTGAAATGGATTCAAAGTATGCAGGATCAGCCAAAGAGCTGAGAACAGGACATAAGTAAGGTAAGAGTTTTAGCAATGAACGCTAATAAAATCAAAAAAAGCTTTAAAGTAAGAATAGGTTGCACCCTTCTTTCATTCCCATAAGAGTTCAGTTCGTTTGAGTTTCTTCAAGTTATTAAGAGTTGGAACAAGTTTTCCAATGATTTATATTTTGTCTCATTTAAACCTGTTATGTGGATTGTATCTTTGAGGCTACGTGTTTGGTCTGGCTTGATCATCCCCTATTCAGAGAGCTGCAGTTTACAGGCCGAGCGCAGCTCTTCAGTTGAATTGAGGTTTGTATTGGATTGGGTACTTGTTGTTTAGAAAATGAGGCTAAATTGGGCTTCTGTCTGGGTTTGTTTTCTTTTGAGGACTATAGCAGGTTTTTCCTTTTGTATTCATCTGGATCTCGCTGCATTTATGTTGAACTTTTCTCTTTTTAGGGCCGACTGCAGAGAGGCATTCAGAATGGTCTCCAAATGTTTGTTTATTTTAACCCCAAATGTTCCTCATTTTTTCATGGACAATTAAGCGCTTTGTCATCTTTGCATATAGGTGTTTGGATGTGAATCGCTCATCACACCTTTATGAAAAGGCAGCAGATCACAGGGAGGGGGATATAATAAAAGCATAGTTAAAATCTGAGTGGTTTCATATTAGTCAGTTTAGGTAAAATTGCATGGCTTTTTGTTTTTGGTCCACTCTGATTAGTGTGAATATAATTACTCCTTTGTGAGTCCAAACTAAGCAAAGATAAAAGGCTGGCGTGTACTTTTATTAATTATTCCTCTGTTGGGAGCTGTAATTTGTTCCATAGACTCATAGGGAACCACATTCTCCTTAGCAACCGCCCCAAAAGTGAAAGGAAGCGCACAGTTGGAAGCCTTTTAAATTCGTGTGGTGGAAGCTTGTTGCTTATCCACTCTGAGTGTTAGGTTTATGAGCTCCTGCAAGAGAGAACGTTATAGGAGAGCTGCAAACTGAGGGTCAGGACCCCTGCTCTGAAACTCACAAACACGTCTGAGTGGGATTGCGTAACAGAAAGATGAATAAACTTTTGTTCTCTTTGCATTATTAGCAATTCAAAATTAGGAAGTCATGAGAGCACTGCTTCTTTTTCCTCCTTCCTCTTTTATTTTCTACGGCTAAGACTAATGGAATAATACTAGGGGGGGTGTGGATTCAAATAATGATCTTTGATTAAGTTTAATATAATTATCCTTCAAAGGGTTACATAAAACATGCAACTTTAAATGTTGATGAGAGATGGAACTGAAACCCTGATTTTAGCTATTATTTCTAATTGAGGAAAACATCTAAGTATTCAATATAAACTGAAAAAACAGGGTTTTTTTGCTGTAGGAGTTATTTAGCCTGGACTGGCTTTTATTTCCAGACATAATTGGTAAGATGAGGTGATTAGATTACATCTAAAGAAAAAAATAATAGCTCTTCTGGCAGTTCAGGCTTATATCACTATAAATTAGGCTGTACTTTCGCCCCCCAACTATTTAATCCTTTTGTTATGGGTTTGCAATCATCATCCTTTTAGTGTAATTACAGTAATAATCAGAGCATGTTTGAGTCTAAAACACAAATCTTACAAAAAAAAAAGAAATAAGAATTGTGCCTGTTTGCAGAGCAGTGAGCTCCTCGCCTTAGATAATTTGCAATGTCCTTGCATCAGTCTGGGGGAGGAAGCAGTGGTATCTGTGAGGGGGCGGGGTCAGCGTTGAGGAACTGGAATTAGGGAGGAGCCCCTTCCCAGGCTCAAAGGGAGGCAGCCAATTGAAAAAGGCGACACAAATACAAGAAGTTGCTGGAAAACATGTAGAGCAAAGGTAAAAACCCAACAGATTCAGATACTGAGGTATCCTCTCAGGTTGTTTCTGCTTTGCTGCATTGATCAGGCTGCTTGTTCTTAAATCTGTAGGAATAAGGAACTTAATGCATGTCTGAATGAATATTACCTTAAATCCTAATTAACATAAATCAGAAAGAACAGGAAACTGTATAATACAGATTCATTCAAACCTTCAGTTTCTGGAAAATTAACATTAAGTGGGGGAAAAAAGAGAAATGTTGGTAGAGAAGTTTAATTTTCTACAAGTTGACACCCTGCACACGCTAAGCTAGAAAAGATCATTCCTTAATACAAGGTTCCCACATCTTAGTCACCATCAAATCCAAGGACTTTTAGGAACCAATTATTAAAAATTTAAGAACCATGCACAGCATCATTTTCCAACAGCTGAATGTGTCACTAATTATTAGTTTAAAATGTGAAAGGTTAGAAACCCTGAACAGCACAGAAGTAGTTGGATTAAATTCAATAATAAAGTAAATTAAATACACAGCCTACATTTAAACCAATAATATCAACAATATGAGGACATGTCTAGTGATGCGAGAGGCTTTGATGAAGCTGCAAAATGGCTAGTTACTATGGCGTGACATTTGTTCCATTATTGACTCAGACAAAGAACATGTTTTGGACATAGAAATTCAAATAAAAGAAATGTAATCCAGAAATTAAACTTTGAAAAATGTTTTTAGACAAGAGGATTTGAGATCAAATTTGCATTCTTAGATATTTATCAATTTTTTTTTTTTACAGATTTTTTTTCAAATTTTTGTTTTTTTTCCAAAAACATTTTTGCAGGTTTTATATAGAAATTTTGTGTTTTTCAGATCTAGTTTTAGGAATTATTTTTAAAACGTGTTTTATTCATCACATTTTCCTCCAAAGTGAGGAGCGAAGATGCATTTCTTTTGGTTTGCATAGATGTTAGCAGCAACATTGGTTATTATTGGTTGAAGGTCAAGAGGAGCGAACATGTCCAGTGTCTTCTTATAGCCATTTTTAAAAACTTTCAAAGACTACAAATTAATTTTTTTCACATTTAAAAACTTTCAAGGATCCATTGGAACCCTGTTAATAGGTTGCATGTATTCAGACATTAATAGTAGGTCAAAGGAAAGAGGAAGGAAAAAAAAAAAGTGTGAATGTGAAAATGACAGATTACTCGTTTTAATCTTTACCATTTTTTATTTCTCCACTGATGTTTTCCTTAAACCTGAATCCATTCCTAAACACCATCAATCCAATAAATACTCATATACAAAACAACACTGTAAGAATATATAAACGCAATGTAGAGCAGAATTCACTTTTATTTACATAACTTTTAGAAAGAAAAACGTTTACAGTCACAACAGCAAAGCAAACATTTCATGAAGCATACGACAACAAAAAGAAATAAAAAGCACTTTCCTTACAGGGATTAGTGTTTGGAGAAGTTTGCCAGTAGTGTGCAGCGGATATCATCTCCAATATCTACACAAGAAAACCACAAAATAGCTGCAGTTTGCAACTCCAACACCTCTCTGTTTCAGCATCTGTCAGGACAAACATCGGTGCGTTTCATTCGTTTACAGCTGAAGCAACAGAAGGAACTTTGTTTTTTTTCTTTTAAATCACAAGCTGCATTTGAAAAGACTATAACATAACCTTAATATGATTATTATTGAAGATTTAACTCCAGGTTAATGTCTTTAAAGTTGTAGCTGCTGCAGCCAAATACTTTAGATGGAAAAAATAAAATCGATGCAAACAAGCTGTTAGGTGAACGGTCCCCCACTGCCCAGCATCTTCATGCTTTTAGAAGAGAAATATCACCCTCCAACCAGTCTTTTGTGAGTGGTGTTATCATCAAAAGCTCTGCAGCCATGGCAACCATTTGACCCTTACTGACACGTTTACCTTGCAATAAAGTAGGAGTGATAAGTGGTGCAAGGCGACAGGATGTCTGTGAGAGAAGAAGCGCTCCACAGGAAGCCAGAGATGTGTATCAGCGAAACGGAGTCTAACTACCGCTTAAATCAAAACCCACTGGATACACCACTATGGCGGCTCTTCCTGCTCCTGCACATCTCAACAGCGTGTTATTGGAGCAGAGCATGTCGAGTCTTCGCTGGCTTGACGAGGACGACGCTTCCTGCCCGTTAGCAGATTGGATTGATGTGCTGGATGCACCGACGCGAAGTAGTGTGAGACGGAAGCAGGATGCAAACGGGGAAGCGTGGCTTCAGATGTAGAGCGAGCCGTCAGCAGGTCCCACGTAGCCCACCCCAATCAGAAGAACGTCTATCAGCGTCCAAATACCCAGGCCTCCAAAGCTAAACAGTTTGCCTAGACCTTCTCTCCACTGGCCCAGATAAAACCGGTCTGCCCCAAAACCACCGAGAGTGATGCTACGGCAGGAAAGAGCAGAGACACAGATTCAAAAGATACCGTGAGAACAAACTCCTGAATCAGACACAGTGTTATATGAATAATGGGGAGCAGCTTACCTGAGCGCCAGAGCCGTAGACCATTTATATCCACCGGTCCAATTACAGAACAAACGCTTCTGGAAGCGCCTTCTGCCTGCAGAACAAAATCACATTCAAAATAAAGGCTTTAATATTGAAACTTAAAGTAGGAAAATCTTTCAGGAGGCTTTTTTTTCAATTAGAAAGAATTTTCCTTTTTCCTTCTGTTGCCAAACCAAACGTCCCCTTTAATTTTCCCCTCCTTTGACTCCTTCAAACATTTAACGGTGGTTTAATTTGTCAGACCAACACAAAGAAGTGAATGATTGCTTAGTGGAAGGAGAGGAAGACATTTTTTCTTTCAATGCAAAAACTTCTGACTACTCCAAATCCCACAGAGCAGCAAACAGCCGTTAATTGTTGACCAAACCGATGGTAACTAAGCTGTCAGAGATATTAGTGAACAAACTCCATAGTGAAGCCGACAGGGCAGAGCTTTAACTAGTGGAGAAGCCATTTAGTTATTTTACCACCTTGTTCCGAAATGCAATGAAAGTCATCTTTTTCCTCCAAAGTCTGCACACAAAACTCTGTTATTACAGAGTTACATATACGTTGTTGTGGGTTTACAACAAATATTTGCATTCTCAGTCATTTGAGTCGTGATAACTACAAAAAAGGTTTAAATCTGAGGCTGCTGCATGGGGGTGGCAGCGTAATGCTAAGGTCTGGTTACCTTAGCTTCAAATCTGTTTTGTGCTTTATTACAAACAGAAAACCACTATGTAGATGAAGATGAGGCCCAAACTGTTTCCACCAACCCTCCTGCACATGTTTCTCCAGCTTCAATGGAGTCCAGCTGTGATAAATCAACTTGATCGAACATGATTAGACCTCACACAGCAGCACACCGTTTACAGAAGTGAAGTCTGCATCCCAGTGTTATTATAAGTTGTGGATAGTATTCTGATCACACTATTTCCAGTGTGTTTTTGTAGATCAGTGACGGTTTGTACGAAGGAGGAGTCAGAGCCTGGATGATGACGTAAGGCATGAGCATTCAGACGGCAAAAAGACCATCAGGTATGTATCAGATTTAGCATCAGGTATGGGGGCAGCTCAAATCTGAGTTATTTGGGGGTGAAAGGATCAAAATTGGGCCGTTCTGACTGCCATGAAAAAGGAAAATATGAGGGAAAAAAAGGATCTAGGTCGTATTTTCCCGCCTTAGTCAGGGAGGAAGATTAAAAACGCTGATTATTCTGTCAGAGCTTCAGGGATCCTCTGTGGCGAGAAAAACATCTCTACAACAATCCACCAACCGGGTCTCTAAAGCCTCTTTCCCACTGAAATAAGCGGGTTAACGCAGCTTTTTCAAAGCAAGTAGAACTGCTAACAATCAGAATTTGGCTCCGTTCAGATTGACAAAAAAAAGCTCAGTCTGACAAACTGCTGTCAAGCTGCGTCCCCTTTGTCCCCCTACTTCTGTGTGTCTTATGACATATCACACTGGGTTAATGTTGATTATGTCACCAGTGCGACAGAAATCAGGAAAGTAAACAATGCAGAGCAACATGGCGTAGTCAGTGTGCTTTATTGTTTCGCTCTATTATTTGTCTGAATTCCTCACACCATTGCTGCCCCATGTTAATCGAATGTAAACAGAGTTGTTTCTGCTCATTAGATAAGAAGCGACTGGTGCCGTTTTGGCGTCCATACGTTGCATTCAATGGTATCACGTAAATTAGCAGGTCAACCTGGTCTGTTGTTCCCACTGCATGCTGATCAGAGCTGAGATGATTTTAACCTGGGTCGCCTGCCGAGTCGTTTGAACCTGGTAGACACACATCGGTGAGCTGTTCCCACTGCCACTAAAAACAGACTGTTCCCGTGTCGGAAAGGCATATAACCTATGTGAAAAAGCAATCCCCCACCCTCTATGAAAACCTCAAGTCGATAGAGAATGAATATTGTCTCATTTCTAATAAAGAAAAAAATGAAAAATTCACGATACCTAATTCCAAAACACAGTTAAATCAACATAAGAGCCTTACTCTTACCTCTTACTTTTTGAAAAACTGTCCAATAGAAGTGTGTGTGTGTGGGGGGGGGCATAATTATGCATTGTGAATGCATAAAGACCCTCTGAGTTAAATATCCCTCAGCTAAGGCTATAATAAAACTCAAATTGGGCCTAATTAAGGTGATTCTTTTTAGTCATAAGTGCTGTTTGGCCGAGTAAAAAAAAAAGAAATCTCATCATGAAGTCTACTGGCACAGATTGTTGCTTTTTTCATACCAAGAATCCAATTAAACAGACATAACCTTCAAGGAAGGCACAGTTAAAAAAACAAAGCATTTACCATCCAATTAAAAAGCTAAAATAAAAAGTAGCCATATTCTCTCAGAGTAATCATCAAAAAGCGGCAAACAATGGAGCTGACATCTACATTTGCATACCAGTTTTTTTTTTTTTTTATCTTTTCTGAATGGTGTTTCAGTCTTTGTTTTCCAGTAGTAACTTCTTTTCAACCAGTGAGAGGGAAAAAAGAACATCCTCTGTAAACTGAAAACAGCCCAGACGGCTGTATTCAGCCACTTGATATAGCCCACATACTCTTGTCCTTAAAAGTGTAGGAAATACAAAGAACACACAAAGTGGTTGTGCGTAAAACTTCTACTCACTGCTTTTTACCTGCTTTCAAAGCTAATTTAATTTATATCAATTTAAGTATGCTTTCATATGAGATAGGAAAAATAAATCATCCTACGCTCTTCATTACTCTGTTTATGTAATGGAAGTAGACAATGCAAAGTTTTGTATGACTCAGAGCTCTGCTAGAAAGAAATGTATGGAGTGAAATTTGTTCCATTATTGTTGGAAGCAAAGAACATATCTTGTAAATTGGGGGGAGAAATACAATCTAGAAATAAAACTGGGAAAGTTTAAAAAAAAAAAAAAGATTTTGATTAAAACCTGACCAGATTTGGATTTTTCAACATTTGTTTTTTCAATTTTAATTTAAATTTTTTTCCCCAAAAAGATTCTTTTTTTTTTTTTTTTTTACAGATTATATACTTTTTCAAATTTATGCTTTATTTAATTTTATGAATTGTGTTCTTTTTAAAATTGTATAACAGAAAACATTCTCTTCACATCCAGCCCAATACAAAAGCCTGTTCTTAAATAGCAATTTGGGAAAGATTGCAATTTGTAGAACTCTGTGAATTTTTTTTGGGAAAAACTAGTATATTTTATAAAATATAAAAAAAATTCTGTCTGTTTAAAAAAAAAAACAATCTTAGAAAACAGCAGCCACCTTTAAAAACCGCAAACATTTCTGAAGTAAATCTTCTGGATGCATTACTTTTACTTCGGTTTACCAAAATGTGTTTTTCAACATTAATCGAAACAAAGTCACTCCACAGTAACGAAGCATCTTAAAAAAAGGCTTAAACTGTCCGTATCCTACAATGGGAAAAAAAAAAATCCCTTTAAGTTCAGAGTGGATGTAGAATGTACCGAGTCAACTCGGTATATGTTATCCCTCTGTTGCTAAAGGTAAATTAGCCTTTTTTCAGACCATCTGATGTCCTACCTAAACAATGCACGTGGTCCAAGACGTCACAGGTGGCGTTGTAGCGCCTGCGAGGACAGGAAACAGTCATGCAGCTGGTGGAGTTGGAGCAGCGGTACTCAGATGGGTCCAGCTGCCAGCAGAACTGACAGATGATGGAGAGAGTAAAGTTACTCTGCTGGGCTCCGGACTTTCCCTGCAAATATGAAAAACTAAATAAATAAACGTTTCTTCAGACCTTTGTGTAAAGTCGACTCATAGAGAAACTGCTACTCACTATGCAGTGGACACCTTTCTTGGGTTTACAAGTGAAAGAGGCTGGTTTCCCATAAGTGCAGTCGTGATGGTAGTCGCACTGAATGCAGCTGGCTGGCAGGCGATCGCACAGACCTCCGCTTGGACATTTAGGAATGTAGCTCACACCACTTGTTGGAGAAACTGCACAAACATTTGGATTTAAAACAAATCACACCAACTTAGGTGATAAAAACAATAACTGGCTACAAGACGCTAACACTGTTAAAACACAATAAAGATCCTCTGTTGACCTCTAACCAACGGCTGATTTTGGACAGAACCAAATATGGAGTGATCTTTGTTCCATTATTGTAAGAACAGGCTTTGTAAATGGAAGTAAAAAAATAAATAAACAAAATAAAAAAATAAAAAAAACAATCCAGAACTGAAAGTTTTGCAAACTGTATTCTTTTCAAATTCCTTTTTTTTTAGATCCCATTCTTTTAATTTCTAGAGGCAGGCTTGTCATCGTGCATGAGGAGCAAAGACAAATTCCTATTGGTCTGCTGGGCATTAGCAGCAGGATTTTTATTGTCCAAGAGCGAGAGCTTCATATTGGGCTTGAAGCGAAGAGAATCTGATCTGTAAAATGAAATCTAAAAAAAATGCAATTTGTAAAAAATCTATCTGAAAAACAGAAACTATTTGAAAGCGTCATTTAAGGATAAAATTTTATTCTTAGACCGGATCCCGCCAGCGAATTGTTTATCCAAGGCCCCCTGGATGGTATTTAATTACCATTAGAACCGGCCAACAGGCCATGGCCGCGTTTGCATGCTGCTGTGACTTTGCGGGCTACCGTTGCATTGTGGGGAATGTAGTGTTGGTGCGGTTGTGTTGCACGCACCAACACCACATTCCCAGAGTAAAACGTGATTTTGTTTTTCTTTTATTTAAATTTTTTTGTCGTGTTTTGCATGTTTGGATTGTTTTGGTTTTTGCTTTTCCCTCTTTAACAATCCAAGCTGGGCTGAAGTCGGTTGTCTTAGGAGGCAGAGTGCACTAACTGCACTCCGCAACTGCTGCACGCAGGTTTCAGCAGAGGCTGATTGAAGCCCCCTCGCTCCAACCTCTGGCTGAATTCTGGGTCCGCTGCCGTGATTCCGCACAAATTTTTTATATTTCTTTGTACAAGGTGTGATTTGTCTTTGAAGGAAGTATTGTTTTGTCTGTGTGCCATAGATTTTTGTATTTTATTTATACATATTTTTCAGTTGAATGGACACAGGACAAATGCAAAAAAGAGCCTGAGAGAGAATACAAGTGATTTGATTTTTTTCTTATTTTACTAATTGAAAGCAGTGAGCGGTAGGATAATAGAGCAGCACAGTAATGCATTTTTGGTTTATAATGAATTCACTTTGATTTATGTAATCATGTATAATGCTTTATGTATAATAAAAGATTATTACCAATATTGTTATTAATATTTTGTTTAAAAAAAACAATGTGTTAGATCTTGATTCAATAGGCAATGTTCATTTCAATATGTTTTCATAAACTTTTAACCAGTCCGGCTTGTTTTACTTTTATGGCTAAATTTTTGATGAAAGAAAACCAGGTTTTTAAAGCATTACACCCCCACAATAAGCTACTTGTAGGGGGCACATTAGATATGCCTTTGCTCTGGATTATTACAAACAGTAAAAAGCTACATATGCTAAGAGCAAATAACCGTGGGGAATTTGTGAAGCAAACTTTAGAAAGACAGGCAAATATTTTCTTATAATGTTTATCTATTTGACCGAATAATTTCCTGCTTACGGCAATTTCAACTCTAAAAGTAGGGTTGCGATTAAAACGACTATTTTGCTAATCAATTAAACCGTTGCTAATGTTTTTTGCTTAATTGATTAATAATTGGTTAGCAAAAGGATCCTTAAAGAAGTTTTTTTTACCGAATCAAACCAAGTGAAACTGAAACTTTTCCACTTGAGGATTTCTGGTTAGAGCAGATTGACAGACGGAAAAAATAATGTTCTCTTATATGCAAATATTTATATATTTTTAATAATTTTGATCAAATTGCTGCTTATTGGAAAGTTAGGAGGGAAAAAATGGGAGCTGACACACTCGGGACTGCAGCCAAATCTCAGCTTCAAAAACTAAACCAGAGACATCAGAAACAAAGAGAACTAAAATAAAACTTTACATTTCACAATTAAACGAGTCTCCAGGGTCTGTTGGAAGTGTGGCCTGGCATATAACCCATGAGCTTCACTTTAACAGCTTTAGAAATGTTTTCTATGAAATTTTCATATTTTAAAAAGTTTGTGTGGATGAAGAAACAAATCTGGAAATTTGATTATTTCCCCTCCCTTCATTTTTTCTTTAGAGATGTATCCAGATTTGAAAAATTATAGCAGAATATCATCTACAATCATTTGCATCTATATCGTAACTGAGGGGTTTTAATTTAAACCAGATTTATTCTTAAAACAGTAATAATAACCTGTTTATCCTAAAGACTATGATGTGGATAAATATTTAAATTTAGCAGAAATGTAATTGATTAATATCACATCTTTGGTATTGAGCTGTTCATTTAAAAATAAATAATATTTACAATTTTCCTATTTATGGGGGGGGGGGGGGGGGGGGGGCGGGTTATGGTAGGGATTTACTATTCAATAAAGGGATTTTCTATTCTATTTAATTATTTAATCTGCTCAAACATCTCGAAGGGTATATTACTGATGATAAACGTACATCTGTTAAACTTACCAGAGGCTGCAGCAGTGACCACCGGGCTGGTAAAGATAGATCCTCGCTGGGCATCTCTTGTGTGCGGAAGATCCTGGCCATCATGTGGTGAACTCAGGTATGCTAAAAACATAAAAACAAAACAAAAATACAAAAACAACAACAAAAAAAGCATAAAATACGCAGCTTATTTAGGAAAACTTATCACCAATTTTTTACTACTTCACCAGGATAAAAAGAGGCAACAGTAACTCTGTCCGAACGAGTTTCAAAAGCTGACTGATTCTTATTAAAAGTAATTAAAAAGGATTTAATCAGCTCAAATCGGTCAGTATTTTCATTCAAAAGCAGCTAGCTTGCTATGCTAGCTCCGTGTTGCTAGCTATGCTTACAAAACTAACGGCTATAAGCTGTTTGTTGAATAAATTATATTTTTGAACGTACCATTTACGCACTGTAATACCAAATCCATCAGCAAAATGACAAATATTCCATAATGTTTCCAGCTTCGTCCTCGGTCTGGTCTCCATAAGTGGCAGCTGGTAGCCATTGTTGCTGCGGAACAAGAAGCAGCAGCAGCTGCTGCATTCATGACCCGTAGGAATTACGAAGAAACGCATTTCTTTGACTATCTTCTCAGTTCTTTTTTTCTTTACTCGTTGAACCAATAGACCAAAAATAAACATCTATCTTTGAATAACTTATTTTTCACCAGATTTATTTTGAAATAACTCGGGTGAAATCAGCGAAGAAATATGGTAGCTGTCGTGGAACATTTTTATTGGATTTCAGTGAACGCATCCTTGTTCTCCATCAAGTAAGGATGGTTAAAAGGGACAAAATTACTTAGGAGAGGATAAAATGTTTAAATATAAATATAGATTGAATTATTTCAGTATGGGCTGGGTTTATATGCAACAGCCGAAATAGCTCAGTTGGGAGAGCGTCAGACTGAAGATCTGAAGGTCCCTGGTTCGATCCCGGGTTTCGGCAGAGGCTTGGTCTCTCATTTATAACGCTAATGTGGGTCTCAGAAAGGGGTCAACATGCACCCCGTGCCTTCTGTGCTCCTCAAATTGCAAGGAGTCTTTTATCAAAGTTTTAAAGAACAAAGTAGCACAAAGGATAATGTTTTCAAATACAATGCAGACTCAACTTTACTTTTTCTTTTACAAATAAACCTTTCTCATTTACTCATTAATTTGTCAGAGTGGAGGTCTTCAACAGGAGGTCTGCAACCCCCAGGGGGTGCACGGAGGGACTGCATTTCATGAAAGTTTTGGTTGATTCCACTTTTTTTTTTATACCACCCTGCTTACCAGCACCAAAGCAACCCCAGACCATCAATCACATTACCTCCACCATGCTTAACAGATGGTGTCAGGCATTCTTCCAGCATCTTTTTATTTGTTCTGCGTCTCACAGACGTTCTTTGTGATCCAAACACCTCAAAGTTGGAATCATCCACAAAATGTCGGTGTTCTTTTGACCATCTTTTTCCTAGTCTTTTATTGGCCAGTCTCAGATATGGCTTTTTCTTTGCCACTCTTCCCTGAAGCCCAGAATCCCGCAGCCGCCTCTTCAATGTAGATGTTGACACTGGTGTTTAGAGGGTACTATTTAATGAAGATGCCAGTTGGAGACCTGTGAGGCGTCCGTTTCTCAAACTAGAGACTCTAATGTACTTATCTTCTTGCTCAGTTGTGCAACGCAGCCTCCCACTTCTTGTTCTACTCTGGTTACAGCCTGTTTGTGCTGTCCCCTAAAGGAAGTAGTGCACATCGTTATAGGAAATCTTCAATTTTTTAGCAATTTCTTGCATGGAATAGCCTTCATTTCTAAGAGCAAGAATAGATTGTCGAGTTTCAGATGAAAGTTCTCTTTTTCTGGCCATTTTGAGCGTTTAATTGACCCCACAAATGTGATGCTCCAGAAACTCAATCTGCTCAAAGGTAGGTCAGTTTTGTAGCTTCTGTAACGAGCTAAACTGTTTTCAAAGGTGTGAAAATGATTGCACAAGGGTTTTCTAATCATCAATTAGCCTTCTGAGCCAATGAGCAAACACATTGTACCATTAGAACACAGGAGTGATAGATGCTGGAAATGGGCCTCTATACACCTATATAGATATTGCACCAAAAACCAGACATAGTCATTTACCACATTAGCAATGTATAGAGTGTATTTCTTTAAAGTTAAGACTACCGTGGTTTAAAGTTATCTTCTTTGAAAAGTAGTGCTTTTCCTTCAAAAATAAGGACTTTTCGATGTGACCCCAAACTTTTGAACGGTAGAGTACATAAAAATTGTAGCGACTCCTTAGCAAATCCTTATATAACAGGGTCCCGTATGTGTGTGACGCACTGCTACCTTGAGCAGAAATGCACATGGAATCCATGAATACGCTTTGCGTTTTAATAATATCCAGTGGCTAACATATCACTCACAACAGATCGTAAAGTACATGATGTGACACTGATTTAAATGCTAAAGCAAACGGTCCATAAAATATGGCTACCTCACTCCCCTCTCTACTGCGGAGTGCAGGTAAACACGCCAATTTAAGCAATCTGCTGTCACCAGTGGAAGCAACATAGCCCAATTAATATAGTCGATTAACCTAAAGCAATATGCATGGTATTGTTTTTATAGGTCAGGTACGCCGGTTATTGACCTTGACCACGGCACCCTATAGTAGATTGCAAAGTTTCCTCTGGGATCAGCTTCATAGTCATGCTAGGCCACTTCTTTGATTTTATTTTGCTCAGGCTACTCGTAAGCCCACAGCCCGCCAAATGTCGAAAGGGCAATATTAATAATACAAATTTTTTTTCTCAGCTTTTATTGTCATTACACTGTCACAAGTACAGAGCAATGGAATTAACTCCCTGCATTTAATCCATCCCCTTGGGGAGCAGTGGGCTGCCATAGTGTGGCGTCCAGGGAGCCGTGTGGGGTTAAGGGTCCTGCTCAGGGACCCAGAGTGTCAGTCTGTGGGAGTGGGGCTGGAGCTCAAAACCTCTGGACTCCAAGCGCAATGCCCAAACCACTAGGCCGCCACACTCCCACTATTATTGCCATTACTGTTAACATAAAGTAGAGTTTTTTTTGCATATTCAGTAATAAAATGTCAAAGGGGATGGTATGGGGTTGTTTTTTACAATTTTTTAAGAAGGGGGAGGCCATCCCCACCTCAACTCTAGTACTGGCTGTCACCAAAGCAACTAAGCCCCACATGTTACAAACACATGCATACCTAATATTACAGCTCCTACAAAAATGTTACTAGTCTAATTGATTTAGAGCTGGATCTTATTTAAAGGAATAGTACACCCAAAACATGATTAGCCTTCATTTTCTACTCACCCCCATGCTGAACAACACTCTGGAGTACTTTTTTGATATCTCAAATGCATCTGGAGATCTGGGAGGCTTCTTGCTGTCTGCTGACATTCAAATTATGGAGGTCTATGGCGCCCGAGACAGAAAGGTCCATAAAAGTCCACAAAAAACGTGTCAATATTCCTCCATACTGCTCGTCCAATGTATTCCAAGTGTCCTGAGTGGGTAGTGTCCATAATTTACTCGAAACAAAGTCATTTAGAATGTTTTTAGAGCATAAACAGTAGAGGATAAACAGATCTCCAGATGCATTTGAGATATCAAAAAAGTACTCCAGAGTGTTGTTCAGCATGGGGGTGAGTAGAAAATGAAGGCTAATCATGTTTTGGGTGTACTATTCCTTTAATGAGCTGCATAGATTCTATTGAGCGCTGAGAATGGACAAGCAGTGAACAATTGCGCAAGTAAAAACACTGGTGTGAAGTGAAACAAAAACCCATTTTTAAAGATGTTTTTCTCTTTATTTATCCTTGTGAAGAATGTTCTCTGTGAAAATAGGCATCATTTCACATCATTTTCATCACACTCCATCTATAACTGATCAGCTCAGGCTCCTTCAAATGACCTACTGTTTCCCCTCCAGAGTTCACAGATGATCTCTTCGGCAAAACTTCCTCTTTTTTTAACATTTAACAAACACAAGATTATTTTCCATGTCTGTCGGTTTTCACTTGACTGTCCAAACAAACATCATCATCTGCCCCATTCACTGCTCCTTTAACTAAACTTCCGCGCCCCAGGATAGCAACCACCCGCTCTGGTTTGTTTTCCCTCCATCTTCATCAGAACTCCTCTTCAGCGTTCCGGCAGCGGGACTGTTTGAGCAGGGAGAGCCGAGCGATCACCTCAGACACCGGCAGCTCTCCGTGGACCTTGTTGTCTCTCGTGCGCACGTTCACGCTGTTAGTCATCTTCTCTTTCTCCCCGACGACTGCCAAGACACAAGACAACAGCTTGACATAACACCAGGAGCACAGCTACCCTAACGCGCCCGGTCAGCCAGTCTGTGTGACCATTTGGCTTCAACTGGTGTAATAAGGGACTTTTATTTTGATCTAGTATTTCTTTTCTAAGCAGCAAAAAAACTAAAGAAAACAGACCAGAAAAGGTTGATCTATCTTTTCATTATTTTACTGATCATTTTTAATAGTGACCACATCAAGTTTTGGAAACGTCAGTAAATGTAGGATAAAGTCTTCAGTTGAGGCTAAATTGTGGCATAAATGAATATAAATGGACCTTTTTATTACTTAAGGACCTCTTTCGCTTTAACAGATAAGGAGATAATCAGTAATCTAAATGATTTCAAATCATTTGCTGTGCAAGTTTAAATGAGCAGAAATAATATAACATAATCAGACATCCTGTTGAGGAAAGTATAAAACTCCTTAAGCAATCAAAAAAACTGATTACTAGAGCTGACCATATACTTAAATGCAATTATAATTATAAACCCCTAAACATTCGATTATATTGTATTTTTTGACCCATCAGAGACATAAGATGGTCACATAGGAGAGAAAAAACATCAAATTACAGTTAGGCTTATGATTTATGGCCACTTTCACTGTGAGTTAGCAGTTTAAAATCGATCGTTCAGATGCTTTGCGTTGAGCTTTTGCATCCTGTAAACAGCTTTTCTACCAACATTATCCTGCAATCAGCCATGTTAATTTTTCTGATCACCTGTGGAAAAAATTTTAATAACATTTTTTTGAAGGGAGTAACTTTACAGGTTTCTCAAATTAGTTTTTTTCTCATTCTTGTTTTTTTTAAACATCTTTTATTTTTACAAACTTTATTTTGTAAATTTTGTACAGACTTTATATTTTCCTTTTTTATTCTTTCAAAGCTTGGGTTTGAAAAGCCCAACACAAATGCTTGCCTCTGACATGCACATTGCCCAAAAAAAATGTCCCAATGCGAACCAACAGAAACGCGACTTCTAAAGAGAAGCTCGGCCCCAGAAGTACAGAGAATGTGATCTGTAAAATGTCGTTTGAAAAGAATGAAATTGATAAATCTGAAAAACAAAAATTTCAACAAAAAAAATTTTGAACATATAAAATATGCAAAAGAAAAAAAAACAAATTGAAAATGTGTAAAACAAGAAAAATACATTTATTTGAAAAAAAAAAAACAGCACAGTAACTCTCAAAACCTTTTTCAACTAAGATTTTTTAAATTTCAATTT